AGAGAGAGAGAGAGAGAGAGAGAGAGAGAGAGAGAGAGAGAGAGAGAGAGAGAGAGAGCGAGAGAGGGGGGGGGATATTTATATATGGGAAAGGGGAATGGAGAAAGGAAAGTGGAAGCGCCTGTCGGGTGACTCTGTTGAAGTAAAAGCTCATCTTTGTTTTTGTTTGTTCTCCCAGGAAAAGACACCGAAGTTTCGATCTCCCTGTTCATCAACAGAGTCTCCGGCGTCGACGAGAACAGAGAGGTGAGTCAGTCTTCTCTTCAAGTAGAAGGGGAAGGGGGGGGGGGATTGGGCTCGAACTGAATCGAGGCAGCAAAGAGTCGTGGTTGTTGTTGTTTGCCGTCGTTGTTCGTTGTTTGTTTTTTTTTTTCAACGGTGGAGGTGGTTGCCGGTGTGAAGCGCATCCACAATCACATCCACCGACCAGCACAAAGTGATCACGCACCCAGAACACAGGGCTGGACCCGGGCTGACAGCTCGGCAGCCCCGTACAATGGGGCTCGGAACGGACTATACTCCAGAGAGACGTGGAGCAACGGAGAGGCGGGGGAAAAGGGGGGCGCGGGTGCTGCATCGCGGAAAATGTTTTAAATGCGCGACGAATGAAAAGTAAGACGAAAGACGGCGGGGTAAATAGTAAATGGCGTTTTGTCTATCGATGCCGCGGTGGTGATCGAGTGCGGGCGCGACTGCAGTGCCGTAAAGTTGAAAACCGATCCGCTCGACTCGGCACTGGCGAACTGCAAAAGGTCAGGGGCGGGCCGCGCACCGCTTACACTGTTAATTACAGCCGGGGAAATGTCAGCGTTGATTAGGGGTGCTACTGGCATCCTATGACAGCAACAAGGGAAAAGGCTCTCTGTTTCCGGGGTTTGCCCTGATTCCGAGCTACCGATCTCGAAATCGGTGTAGTTGTGTCTCTAAAAACCGAGTCACCCTCTTCTACCCGTTTTCGGGAAACAATTCTCGGATTTCGAGAAACGACTTTCGACTTTCTAGCTCGTTAGCTCAGAATCAGAACAGAGCGCCTCTAAATCAGGCTTTTGGATGCTCGAAACCGAGAAGACGTATTGAAAGTCGAAAATCAGCCTCAAAAACTTAAATTCACCTTTTTTTTTCACGCCTCGGATTCCGAGGTTGTTCGTTTTTTTTATTATTTGCCGTTGTGTTGTCACGTGACGTGTCCACTCGCCCTTAGTGGTCGGTGGTCGGGGCGCCTTTTAACGGCCGCATGACGTGGTAATGAAAGGGAGGGGCTGACTCTCCACAGGTACTCCACCAGGAGAGGCGACCCCCGGGCCGGGGCCGGCGGCCAGGCGCTGACCAATGACAGGGTGCGCGGGCTGGCGTCACGGCCAAGGCCCAAGGCCGCAGTGTGTGCCCGAGGCGCGCCATAGGCCGATAGGGTTACACACACACACTTCACTGTATTTTCAAGCGTATATGCCGATTTATCCGTGCACTGTAAGAAACGAGAAAGTTTTTCGACGCCACCCAAGGGTTTTGCTTTCCTTATTGCCCCTTGAAAATGATTGAAAAACCAAGCTTAGTGAACACCTTGGATTAAAGGGTGTCATATGGATAAAGTCAGACCCATAAAATATAGTTCAAAACATTCAAATAATTCCTATAAAGAAAGACGTTCGAAAAACTGGTTTTGGATAAAGCCGAACCCAAGTGGCGTCGAAATTCGTTTTTCTCTTTACCGCGTGTATTTTTCCTGATTTTTTCTGTGAGCGGTTTTCTTAAGTGATTTTCTTCTAGAATGTTTTTTCTGACATTTTATTTGATTCTCTTCTATTTTTTTCTGATGCTTTCCTCGATTTTTTCAGATATTTTATTCGATTTTCCTTGATTTTCCTCTGATTTTTTTCTGGTTTGTTTTAGAGAATGTACACTGATATTTTTTTTTATTTTAGTGGAGTATAGTACCCCTTGCTCGCGCCGGGCGCTCGGCCAGCAGGCCGCGAGTTCAAGGTTCGATCCCTACCGTCCCCCTCTCCACGGCGGCCTCCTCGATTGCAATGCCATTTCGCTGCAGGCGGGGCGGGGCCGGCGGGGCTACAGGTCCTTGGGCGGGCGGGTCCTTTCCCTTTTCCGTTCCCCGCCGAGCCGAGCCGCGAGTCGAAGCCAGCCGGGTCGGGGCGTGAAAGGTCAGGGGTGCCAACCGCAAGCGCACGCGGGGACCGCAGACCGCGAAAAAGACCCCAGCGGGGGCGACGGGAGCGCTAGGGCGACAAACCTGACGGCGACAAAGTGGTTGTCGGGCCGGCGGCAACCATCAACCATAGCCACAGCCATAACCAGCCTGGTTGTGTGGGGTCGTCTGGTGCTGCGGACCGCAGCGCCAACGCAGAGGGCCTGCTCGAGCAAATGTATGCGCATTCGATGTTTGAGGAGGTGCCGTGCGGAGTGCGGGCTGCGAGCTCCAAGTGCAAATGGGCAACCCCGCCCAGTCCAGGAACGCCACGCCAGAGACCGACGAAGGACTGGCCCAGGGAAGGGAAAATCGCATAATAATCAAGGGTACAGCACGAGGGTAGCGACTGAGCGAAAGACGTGTGATGCCAGCTCACCTCGTCGCTGTTTAAAATCACACCTGGTGGACATGCTCGCAGGCCGTTATTGGCGATTTGCAAGGAGGCGACGAGCTTCCACCACCTACTTGCAAATTGTCAACAACGGGGCGCGGAGTGTCGGAGAGCGTACACTGCTGCAGCACCTTGAACTAAAAAAGTCTTTAATGATTTTAACACTTGACAAAAATATTTTATTGATTTCTTTTTCAAAACACAAAAGTTGCATTCTCTGTTGGTTTTAATTACCGGTACACCTGCTTTGTTTTAATGACAGTAGTTTTGTTGGTGTAGTTCGCGAACACCTCGCGTGTTTCTGTTTCAGCCGAACACGAATGCTCCGACGTTCGTCCGATTTCATTCGCATGCGACCGTGTTCGCTCATCGCTATTCTCGCGGGTAAAGCGACGCGGGCGAGTTGTGCCGGGGGCGGGCCGTTGGGCACCAGGCGAGGTGGCAGGTGGGCGTAAGCCGCACAGGGGGCGCCTCCGCGTGCAGCAGCAGCGTTCCGCCGGCCAGCCCAACACATACATGGCAAATCAGACCGGTGCAGAGCTAAGAGTGTACCCCCACCATGAACGTACCCCACAGAGGAAGGGGGTACATTCATGGCACCATGAATGTACCCCCCATAGCGTTCCATCAGCTAGGGGGTACATTTATGGTGCCATGGATGTACCCCCCTTGGTGCCTTTTTGGGGGGGGTACATTCATGGCACCATTGTTGTCCCCCCCCCGTTACGTCCCTTCAAGGGGGTACAACAGTGGTGCCATCAATGTACCCCCC